TGATTTTAAATGTAGCATTTTATTGCTATAGAAAGAAAAAAATAGCATTTCCTTCAAAATCAGATTAAATAGATATGTAATGGGATTTCAGTTACAGAGTTGAATTTTTACACGTATTTGTTGAGTATGCTTTATGAAATGTTCTTTCTACATTTACTGTCTGCTTAAAATATCAGCTATAAAGACCCTGAAGGGCAGGTGCTGAAATTGCAGACTGAGACTTTATTCCATCTGTGAAAAAGGTTAGTACTACATTGCAATGCTTAACATAACCTTAAAAATCCACAACTTCAACTCTGTTTTGAGGCCACCTTATCCTTTAAATATTATTATTGAAATGTATCCTAGCAAGTTAAATATATATGGTATATCATCTTAGTTTCATAGATGATTAAACACACACTGTATAGTTGCCATAATTTCATTAACTCAGAGTGGATTACATGTACATGTGTGCATATGTGTACAGGCTAAAATCAATGTACAGAAATTAGTAGCATTTCCATATATCAATAATGTTTAAAGTGAGCGCCAAATCGAGTATGCAATCCCATTTTCAACAGCCACACACACACAAAAAAAGTACCTAGGAATACATCTAACCAAGAAGGTGAAAGATGACTTCAAGGAGAACTACAAAATACTGTTGAAATAAATCATAGATGACTGTATTAGTTCATTCTGACACTGCTATAAAGAAATACCTGATATTGGGTAATTTATTAAAAAAAGAAACGTAATTGACTTGTAGTTCCATAGGCTGTACAGGTAGCATGGCTGGAGAGGCCTCAGGAAATTTTCAACATGGTGGAAGGTGAAGGGGAAGCTGGCACATCTTACATGGCTGGAGCAGGAAGAAAAGAGAGAAGGGGGTGGGGCTGCACACTTTTAAACAACCAGATCTCATGAGAACTCACTTACCATCAGGAATACAGCAATGGTGAAGTCCTCCTCTTTGACTCTATCACCTCCCACCCAGGCCCTCCTCCAACATTGGGGATTACAATTTGACACAACATTTGGGTAGGGCCACAAATCCAAACCATATCATCATATCAATGACACAAACAAACAGAAAAACAGGATGGGTGCAGTGGCTTAGGTCTGTAATCATAGCACTTTGGGAGGCCAAGGCTGAGCATCACTTGAGTGCAGGAGTTTGAGACCAGCCTGGGCAATGTAGCAAGATCTCCATCTCTAAAATAAATATTTAAAAAGTAACCAAGCATGATGACACATGCCTGTGCTCAGGAGACTGAGATGGGAGGATCAACTGAGCCCTGGTGGTTGAGGTTGCAGTGAGCCATGATCATGCAACTGCATTGCAGCTTGTGTGACAGAGTGAGAGAAAGAAGGAAGGAAGGAAGGAAGGAAGGAAGGAAGGAAGGAAGGAAGGAAGGAAGGAAGGAAGGAAGGAAGGAAGGAAGGAAGGAAGGAAGGAAGAAGGAAGGAAGGAAGGAGGGAGGGAGGGAGGGAGGGAGGGAGGGAGGGGGGGGGGAGGGAGGGAGGAGGGAGGGAGGGAAGGAAGGAAGGAAGGAAGGAAGGAAGGAAGGAAGGAAGGAAGGAAGGAAGGAAGGAAGGGAAAAGAGGGAGGAAAACATTCCATGCTCGTAGAGTGTAACAATCAATATTGTTAAAATGGACATCTGCCCAAAGCTATCCAAAGATTCAACAATATCCTTATCAAATTACCAGTGCCATTCTTCACAGAATTAGAAAAAACATATTCTAAAATTCATATGGCACCCAAATATAGGCTGAATGGCCAGAGTCATTCTAAGCAGAAAGAACAAAGCTGGAGGCATCACATTACCTGACTTCAAACTATGCTCTAAGGCTACAGTTACCAAGACAGTGTGGTACTGGTATACAAACAGACACATAGATCAAAGGAACAGAATAGAGAACCCAGAAGTAAAGCTGTACACTACAGTTATCTGATATTCAACTAAATCAACAAAAATAAGCAATGGGGAAAAGACTCCCTATTAAATAAATGGTGCTGTGATAGCTAGCTAGGCATATGCAGAAGAATGAGATTGGACGCCCCCCCCATCTTACAACACACACAAAAATTGACTAAATATAGATTGAATATTTAAATGTAAGTCTTCAAACTAGACTGATTGAGAAGAAAATCTAGAAAATATCATTTTGGACATAGGCCTTGGGAAAGAATTTCTGATTAAGTCCTCAAAAGTAATGCAACAAAAACAAAAATTGGCACGTGGGATCTAAATACACTAAAGATTTCTGTACAGCAAAAGAAACTATCAAAAGAGTAAACAGACAACTTACAGAATTGGAGAAAATATTCACATGCCATGCATCTGAGAAAGGTCTAATACTCAGAATCTTTGAGGTGTGTCAACAAATCAGCAAGCATAAACAAGTAACCCCATTAAAATGTGTACCAAAGACATGAACAGACATTTCTCAAAATATGACATACAAGCAGCCAACAAACATGAAAATGTTCTCCACATCACAAATCATCAGAAAAATGCAAATCAAAACCAGAATGACATACCATCTCATACCAATCAGAATGGCTATTAAAAAGTCAAAATATAGCTGGAAATGGTGGCTCACGCCTATAATTTCAGTGCTTTGGGAGACCAAGGAGGGCAGATTACTTGAGCTCAGAAGTTTGAGACCAGCCTAGGCAACATGATGAGACCCTGTCTCTAACAAAAATCCAAAAAATTAGCCATGCAGGTGGCACACATCTTTAATGTCAGCTACTCAGGACGCTAAGGTGGGAGGATTGCTGGATCCCGAGAGGTTGAGGTTGCAGTGAGCTGATACAGTGCCGCTGCACTCCAGTCTGGGTGACAGAGTGAGACCCTGACTCAAAAAAATTAATAAGTAAAATACTAAATAGTCAAAAAACAAGACCTGATATTTTTGACAGCTGTGGAGAAAAGGCAACACTTATATACTGTTGGTGGAAATATAAATTAGTTCAGTCACTGTGGAAAGCAGTTTGAAGATTTCTGAAAGAACTTAAAACAGAACTACCATTTGACCCAGCAATCCCATTACTGGGTGTATACTCAAAGGAAAATAAATTATTCTATCAAAAAGACAGAGATAGTCATATGTTCATTGAAGCATTATTCACAACAACAAAGGCATGGAATCAATCTAGGTACCCATCAACAGTGAATTGCATTTAAAAATGGGGTGCATATGCACCATGGAATACTATGAAGTCATAAGAAAGAACAAAATAATGTCCTGTGGAGCAACATGAATACCAGCTGGAGGTCATTTTTAAGCAAATTAATATAGGAATAGAAAACCAAATATTGCATGTTCTCACTTATAAGTGAGACCCAAGCATTGGGTACAAGTGGACATAAAGATGGGAACAATGGACACTGGGGACTACTATGCAAGGAGAGAAAAAGGGGAAGTAAGTGCTGAATAACTACCTATTGGATACTATGCTCACTACTTGGGTGATGGAATCATTCACACTCCAAACCTTAGCATCGCACAACATACCCATGTAACAAACCTGCATGTAAACCCCCTAATCCAAAATAAAAATTGAAATTATTTTTAAAAATATATTTCCAATGGCTTTGTAGGTCATTGGAAAATTACTCTGAAAAATTTTCCTTTGCCCTTCTATCCCACCTTTCTTATTTAAAACATATAAAATAATTCAAATAATACTAATTATTACGAGTACTACATTAGATTTAAATTGTGTACAAATTTGTTAATAACCAACTATTTTAAGATAAGAGGATGTGATACTATATGATATATTATTTAATACAGAAGTAGAACCCATAGACATAATTGCTAAGTAATTAAATAAGTTGTATACTTAACCATTGTCTCTTAAAATCAAATTAAATTTTGATTTAGAAGTAATTTTCCTTTGAAGGTGGTACTAAGCAAAATAAAGTATATTTAATAATTTTTTTATTATTCTTTATGTTCTAGGGTACATGTGCACAACGTGCAGGTTTGTTACATATGTATACATGTGCCATATTGGTGTGCTGTACCCATTAACCCATCATTTACATTAGGTATATCTCCTAATGCTATCCCTCTCCCCTACCCTCTCCCCACAATAGGACCCGGTGTGTGATGTTTCCCTTCCTGTGTCCAAGTAATCTCATTGTTCAATTCTCACCTATGAGTGAGAACATGCAGTAATAATTTTAATAAATAATAATTTTAATAAATTTAATAATATTAACCAATATGTTATATATTCGTTATATGTCTTTAAATGTGGTCGTGGCAATGTTTTAAATAATTAATGATCCTAAATTTTCAACATCAGTAGCAACAAGTCCATTGACATATGGTATTACAAGTTCTAGTAATATCTTATTATTTGTCATTCTGGTGGAGTCCATCCAAGAATTAACTTTTAACTAATTAGATAAAGCAGTAAAAAGGACACACTACCTGATACCCTCTTTCAGTCTTACGCTATCAGTCTCTCCTTCTGTGAATGCTGAGCATTGGGACCATACCTGTGTATTTATCTTTCTGAGGTCAAGGGCACAAAGAGAATGACTATGAGCGTGTGGCATAGCTTCAAAGAAAGGTAAAAATATTAAATTGTATAACTGCTAAAATTTCATCAAATAGTCCTAAGGCTAGTCTTAAATAATCCAATATGATTTTTTTTAAAATATTGAACTACATACACACATCCCAAATAGGATACCAGCCTCTCAAACATTCCGTAATTAATACTTTTGGATCTCATTGGAACAATGAGGACCATATATATTGTTGTGTTTATATATAATCTGATTATATATAGCTAAAGATAAGTCAGGCAAACCTATTTCAAACAGAAAACAAAACCCAATAATGTGACCAATACCTAAGACAATAGTGCTAACTTGGAAACCATAACTGGGTGGCTTTTTAAGTAAGCATCAGACAGGTACTATCCAAAGTGAAGACATAGACAGGTTCCCCAATGAAGTGAAGTGTAATATAAACAAGACCACACTAACCATATACTTGTGGATCGTGCTCCCTGATAAGTCCTGGGTGTGTTTGCCTCTGTGCTTATTTGTCCTCTGTGATCATTCTTCTCACCCTATTGAAGATGATTTTAGCAAGACAAAATGTTAAATAGGTAATAAATATTGAGTTTTCTTCTCTAAAAATCATCCATTTCATTAATTAAACTCAAGTTCACAAAAAGAAAAAAAAAGTTAATGTGATGGATAATGGATTCAGTCAGGCTTGGATTAACAGATTCTTCAGAGTAACATAGGGTAAATACCCCATAACAATTCTTTTTAAAACAAAAAGAAAGACAGTCTCCAGAGAAGGCATTTAACATATTACTCATCATTCTATGAGGGAAGAAAACACATTGTAGAGTAATATTGTGAAAAAATATTAATATAAAAATTATTGGCTCTATATAAACTCCAGCTCTAAAGTCAGTTCTGCAGTTGAAGTTTATGTTTGTTGTTGTTGTTTGTTTGTTTGTCGACATGGGGTCTCGCTATGTTGATCAGTCTCAAACTCCTGGCCTCAAGTCATCCTCTGATCTCAGCCTCCCAAAGTGCTGAAAGTACAGGTGTGATCCACCACATCTTGCCTGGAAGTAAGCTTACATTCTTTAACTTTGTATTGCCTCCTGTATTTTCCAGTCTAAGAAATGGTCTTTCTTTGTAGACTCAACTTTGGAACATTTCTAATTTTGTATTGGAAATTCATGAGAATAATTTGCGAGTAGATAGTATCAAGCTTGTGTGGATTGGTCCATAGGAGAAAAATGGTAACAAATGTGTTTGGAGTAAGTGTGTTTGGAGTAGCACACACAAATGGTAATGCATCATGCAAAATAGTGCAGTATGAATGTGGGGCGTGTGTGTGTGTGTGTGTGTGTGTGTGTGTGTGTGTGTATGATGTGCAGAATGATCCATTAAGAGGGACAAAAGAAATTAAATTGCATGGATTACAAAATGCATTTCTGGGGTAGGAGAATGGGAGGTTACTATGAGAAATGAAGTTATATAAAAGATCAAGACTTTTTTGGTTTCTCTTTCTACAGAAAAACTCCTCTTTATGGGATGAGCTTAATTCTCAGGCTATAGCAAGAAGAGGCAAGCGTGTCCAGGGAATAAAGGATTCAGTGATTGTCAGCTCACTTCAGGTCAGCTTCCTTGTTCAGGAACTGCAAGTCATCTGTCCCACGTCTCTCCACTATATTTCAATATGTAATTAATGTGATTTTCCAGGCTTCCTTAATTGTAGCAATATTGGGCTGTAGCAATTTATTATAACTTAAAAAAGGGAGCAAGGTTTATAGAAATATTTGTGTATATACAGGACTCTGAAAATTAAAGCAGCATAATTGCTATACTGTTACCAGAAATTGAAGATTTCATAATGGAACCACTAACTTTTGCATCATATGCAACAATAGAACTGTTTAAAATAGATTGTAATTATTAAATAGTGAAAATGAATTTTCAGTTGAAAATTTGACCTTGACCAGGTACAGTGGCTCACATCTGTAATCCCAGGACTTTGGGAGGCCGAGGCGGGCAGATCACGAGGTCAGGGGTTCAAGACCAGCCTGGCCAACATGGTGAAACCCCGTCTCTACTAAAAATACAAAAATTAGTTGGGAGTGGTGGTGCATACCTGTAATCCCAGCTACTCAGGAGGTCAAGGCAGGAGAATTGCTTGAACCGGGACCCGGGAGGCAGAGGTTGCAGTGAGCTGAGATCGCACTACTGCATGCACTCCAGCCTGGGGTACAGCGCGAGACTCTGTCTGGGGGGGAAAAGAAAAAAGGAAATCTGATCTAAACTTCAAGCTTAGTAGTTAATCTTGTTTCAGAGTTAATTCTTCTTTTCTTTCTTAATAACACTAATTTATGTGGAAAAGCAAAATGTGATCAATGATATACTTTACCATTCAATGTCTATTTTTACATCTACAAATGGACAGCAATTATATGATCATTAAAAATCTTATTCCATTATTATAGCCAGCTCCTACTACCTCAAGTTCACTAATGCATTTTATTGGATGTGCATAGCTAATAATAAAAAAACCTAAAACAAACAAGCAAAAAATTTGAACCAGTTGTCAATTTAGCTAAATATAACCTGTAGGTGGTTTGTATTTAGAAGGACTTTTAAAAGAGTAATGCAAAAGCCAGTTTATTATTTAGTAAAATAACTAAAAGAATTTAAAAGAAAATTTTGATGATGTCTGTGAGATTTAGAAATACACAACTCAATTTTATATACAACACAGCTGAACTGCTATTTTTAAATGTTTCATGTGCCTTAAATGATGGTGGTTATTTTATTTTTATTTGTGTTTGCTGCCTTGCTTAAGACACATGCTTTATTGCTTTAATAAACACTTATCTCTTAAAACGGCTGTTTATAAAAAATGATTATTTTTCACTCACACAAAAGTTTAAACATAAACAAAACAGAGCTGATATGACAGCTCTGGAGTGTTTGGGATACAGGTGACGGTTGTCAAATTCCTCTCTGTCCTCGTCATAGGTCTTCTTCCCATAGTTCAAGATGAGATGCTCCTATAACCATTCCTATATTGCAGTCAAAGAAAAAAAAAAAGACAGAAAAGTAGAAGGCACAAGGCTTCTATTTGCTTAGAAAGAAGGCTGGGGAATGTAACTTTCAGTTTCATGCCCATGTGAAAGACTAAAACTGGTGAGTTCCTTTAACGAAAGAAAGAATGCAAAATAGATTAGAAACCATGAGCTTTGTCAATTGTACTTGAATGCTAATTTTATTTGAAAGATTCTTCCTTCTATATCTTTATGTTTATATGTAACTTTATAGCTGCAAAATTTATAACATTTGGTATGTTGTTTAATCACATTCTGCTTAATAATACTTAAAATAGATTTACTCATATGCCAAAGCTATCTCCTGTATCTCCAATTTTAAAGATTAAAAATGTAACATTACACTAAATAATACTGATACAAGTTTATCACTCTGAATTTCAAGGGCAAGTATATAATTTATAATTTATTCACATGTTTTATTATTTATTCTGTTAACTCCTTGCACAAATCCTCCATTGCTCTATCAAAGAATAGGCCATTTTAATCCTTCTTGCTGTGCTATCCAAACCTACTCATTTCTTTTTATTATTATTATTACACTTTAAGTTCTGAGATACATGTGCAGAATATGCAGGTTTGTTACATAGGCATACACGTGCCATGGTGGTTTGCTGCACCCATCAACCCGTCATCCACATTAGGTATTTCTCCTAATGCTATCCCTCCCCTAATTCCCTGCACCCCCCACAGGACCTGGTGTGTGATGTTCCCATTTCTGTGTCCATGTGTTCCTATTGTTCAACTCCCACTTATGAGTGAGAACCTGCAGTGTTTGGTTTTCTGTTCCTATATTAGTTTGCTGAGAATTATGGTTTCCAGCTTTATCCATGCCTCTGCAAAGGACATGAACTCATCCTTTCTTATGACTGCATAGTATTCCATGGTGCATATGTGCCACATTTTCTTTATCCAGTCTATCATTGATGGGCATTTGGATTGATTCCAAGTCTTTGCTATTGTGAACAGTGCTGAAATAAACATATATGTGCATATGTCTTTATAGTAGAATGATTTTTAATCCTTTGGGTATAAACCCAGTAATGCGATTGCTGGATCAAACGGTTTTTCTGGTTCTAGATATGTGAGTAATTACCACACTGTCTTCCACAATGGTTGAACTAATTTAAACTCCCTAAAACAGTATAAAAGCATTCCTATTTCTCCAGATCCTCTTCAGCATCTGTTGTTTCCTGACTTTTTAATGGATAGCAATTTTAACTGGCATGAGATGGTATCTCACTGTGGTTTTGATTTGCGTTTCTTTAATGACCAGTGATGATGAGCTTTTTTTTTTCATATGTTTGTTGGTTGCATAAATGTCTTCTTTTCGAAAGTGTCTGTTCATATCCCTTCCCACTTTTTGATGGGGTTGGTTGTTTATTCTTGTAAATTTGTTTAAGTTGTTTGTAGATTCTGGAAATTTGTAGAAATTTGTTTGTAGCCCTTTGTCAGATGGATAGATTGCAAAAATTTTCTCCCATTCTGTAGGTTGCCTGTTCACTCTGATGATACTTTCTTTTGCTGTGCAGAAGTTCTTTAGTTTAATCAGATTCCATTTGTCTATTTTGGCTTTTGTTGCCATTGCTTTTTGTGTTTTAGTAATGAAGTATTTGTCCATGTCTATGTCCTGAATGGTATTGCCTAGGTTTTCTTCTAGGGTTTTTATAGTTTTAGGTTTTACATTTAAGTCTTTATTCCATCTTGAGTTAATTTTTGTATAAGGTGTAAGGAAGGGATCCAGTTTCAGCTTTCTGCATATGGCTAGCCAGTTTTCCCAACACCATTTATTAAATAGGGAATCCTTTCTCCATTGCTTGTTTTTGTCAGGTTTGCAAAAGATAAGATGGTTGTAGATGTGTGGCATTATTTCTGAGACCTCTGTTCTGTTCCATTGGCCTTCATATCTGTTTTGGTACAAGTACCATGCTGTTTTTGTTACTGCAGGCCTTGTAGTATAGTTTGAAGCCAGGTAGTGTGATGCCCCCAGCTTTGTTCTTTTTGCTTAGGATTGTCTTGGCCATGCTGGCTCTTTTATGGTTCCACATGAAATTTAAGGTAGTTTTTTTCCAATTCTGTGAAGAAAGTTAATGGTAACTTGATTGGGATAGCATTGAATCTATCAATTACTTTGGGCAGTATGGCCATTTTCACAATAATGATTCTTCCTATCCATGAGCATGGAATCTGTTTCCATTTGTTTGTGTCCTCTCTTATTTCCTTGAGCAGTATTTTGTAGTTCTCCTTGAAGAGCTCCTTCACTTCCCTTGTAAGTTGTATTCCTAGGTATTTACAAGAAAAAAAAAAAAACCAAATTGTTGGTGAAGGATATAAACTGACACTTCTCAAAATAAGACATTTATGCAGCCAATAAACATACATAAAAAAGCTCATCATCACTGGTCATTAGAGAAATGCAAATCAAAACCACAATGAGATACCATCTCATGCCAGTTAAAATTGCTATCCATTAAAAAGTCAGGAAACAACAGATGCTGGAGAGGATCTGGAGAAATAGGAATGCTTTTACACTGTTTTTGGGAGTGTATATTAGTTCAACCATTGTGGAAGACAGTGTGGCAATTCTTCACGTATCTAGAACCAGAAAAACCATTTGATTCAGCAATTGCATTACTGGGTATATACCCAAAGGATTAAAAATCATTCTACTATAAAGACACATGCACATGTACATCTATTGCAGCACTGTTCACAATAGCAAAGACTTGGAACCAACCCAAATGACCATCAGTGATAGATTGGATAAAGAAAATGTGGCACATATACACCATGGAATACTACACAGTCATAAGAAAGGATGAGTCCTTCCTTTGCAGGGACATGGATGATGCTGGAAACCATCATTCTCAGCAAACTAACACAAGAACAGAGAACCAAACACTGCATACTCTCACTCATAAGTGGGAGTTGAACAATGAGAACACACGGACACAGGGAGGGGAATATCATACACTGTGGCTTGTTGGGGGTGGGGGGCTAGTGGGTGGATAACATTAGGAGAAATACCTAATGTAGATGACGGGTTGATGGGTGTAGCAAACCACTATGGCACGTGTATGGCTGTGTAACAAACCTGCATGCTCTGCACATGTACACCAGGACTTAAAGTATAATAATAAAAATGAATAAGTAAATAAATAATAAATCAAGGTGCAGCAGGTTCACAATTGGCAAAAACAAAACAAAAAAAAGTATAAAATGCCGACTAGTTGTCTTAATTGAGTGTTGAGTACTGTATGCTCCAATTATAACAATTATGACTGTTTATAACGTTTACGTACTTTTAACATTAGAGATGTCTGCAAGGAGATAAGCTATTTTCTTAATTATTTTTGTTTGCTCATTTGTTTGCAGGTCACATAACTGCAGGTCTAATTAAACATTTATGTAGTTAGTTTACTTCTTTGTGAAATTTCATTCCACATAAATAGTCTAAAGTATATCAACTTCTAATCTCTGCTTGTCCATTTTTGCAGAAGATTCTGTTACGTTTCTCCTCTAGTACCTTATATGTCAGGAATCCTTATCTCCAACAGAGTAGCAGTGATGGTTCTTACTGACCACTAGGAGGCCCAAATTTGATCTCTGGAAGTTGAAGGACAGGATACTCACTGCCTCAAATCCTGGAAGCTTCAGAGGTTGACATGGCCAAATAAAGCAGAAGATTGTCGGTGGTGTCACTCAAATATTAGTTTGTCACTTTTTAGTGTTTCCAGATTCCTGTTAAATATTACCCATCTCCAACTTCACAGTAAACTGGAATTAAACGATAGTCTTCATGCTGGTTATCTCCCAGTATGTATATATATTTTTTCAAATATATTATCTGCAATATCTACCCATACAGTCCAATTTCAAACTCCATCTCAGCCTCCCTCTTATTCTACTTCTATCTGATCATCAACAGCTCTTCCTCATGAGTTCAGCCTCAGCACCAACTAAATCCAGAGTTAAATGAGAAGAGTGAATTAGTTTTCCTCAATACCTGTATAACATTTTTCTATTACATGGAAATTCTCAAAGAGAAGTCCAAAACCCCTCTAACGAAGGCAAAGAATCA